TGCAACCAGGAAAGGATCGAACTATGCCACGAGCCAGGATCTGTTTGAGACTCCACTACAGTCCAGTCAGTCGAGCACAAGCAAGCAGGGGAAGGAACCTTGGGTTAGTGTGTAAATGATTTCCCATTACAATATTGTACTGATGACACCTCCAACTTAACAGGACACGGCTTTTCACTACTTTACTTATACTAGGCGAGGTAGCTGTACAACAAAGAGAAGTAGAGTTATCTGCTTCCTATACCCTTGTAGTTAGGTGGGAGGGGGACTGCTGTACAGAACAGTTTGCTTATGTATCAAGAAATGGCCCTAGCACCCTCCTGAGAGAGCTCGATGTAACTTTTGTGGAGGCACTCTGCAATCCTCTCCTGAAGGTTTCTAGGGATGGTAGCCTAATTTCTTCTTCCACAGTAAGACGCTTTCCCATGCCAGCTGACAATAAAACTTCATTAGGCACCATTGCAGTAAACAGGCTAGCAGCACAGGGTACCAGCTGGCTTCAGGACCCCAGCAACAGCTGTGCGCTCTGCCTTTGTTACCCTCAGGAGTCAGATATTGACTAAAATCACCACAGCCTGTGGAAAACGGTGCCAATATTCAGTGTCATTGCCCTATACTCAGTTCCATGGAACCAAGCAATTCCCTCCTCATTTTCCTTGCCCCTGCCATGCCATACTTACTGTGGCTGGGGCCGTGCACAATCATTCCAAGGCAGAAGTAGCAATGAGCATGTCTTGTGTAAAACTTCAGGAGAGCAAGGGAAGGGAGTTATAAATCTGAACTTTTGTTTTCTGTTGTGATTATACTGACAGTGGCACCTCTGTGTTTTATCTGTACTGCTGGTGTTGCCCTTGTGGGTTTCCCCTCCACAACTGCAGCATGCCTTAGCCAGATAAGGAGGAGAAAAAAAGGAGGACTCAGGCTGCCAGATCCTGCAAGCCAGAGCTATATCAGATTATAAGCAGAGGGCCTGGGGGAAGGGGGTGTGAATATTTCAGGCTGTATGGAAAAGGAAAGAGCAGACAGGAGAAAGGCTCTGGAGTCCTGGCAGGAAAAGGAGAGGGAGATGCACCAGGACATAATGGGGCTTCTCTGGCAGCAAACACAGCTGTTGCAGACTCTTAGGAATCTACAGGTTCAACAGTCGGGCTTGCTTCCCATTGCAGTCCACAGAGAACTCCATTATAGCACCTGACATGTTTCCATTACTCAATTAAATTGTATTGTTTGGGATAATTCATTATTAGTTCCCAACATATGCTGCAGAGTGCCTAGTGGAATTGAAAGCACCCATTTACTTGTTTTTGTATAGTGTGACAAAACTCATAGGCTCAGTGACGAAAACAGTAATAATCAAATGTATAGCAAGCACCACAACATTAAATAGGTGCATTGACAGTGTTATATTCATACATGTACACCAGGCATCACACAATTCCTCCCAAAACAGTAGGGCCAGGTAGAGCACAGTACACCACAACACATTACCGTGGCTTACTGTGAAAGGGCTCCTTCAAAGCCTTCCTGAGCCACGTATCTCCATGTTGAGCTCTTCTAATAACCTTTGTGTCTGGCTGTTCAAACTCAGCAGACAGCTGCTCCACGTCTGTCTGCGCCAATTTTTCTCCCTTTGCTTCACAGATATTATGCAGGACACAGGAAGCAGCTATAACCATTGAGCTATTTTACTCACTGAGATCCAATCTTGTGAGTAAATAATGCCAGCCTCCTTTCAAGCACATTCAACTGCCATTCTGCACCTGCTGAGCTGGTAGTTCCTTGGAGCTGTCAAGGTGGCTGGTTTATGGCGTCATGAGCCAGGGGAGCAAGGGGCAGTAGGTTCCCCCAGGATCACTGTTGGCATATCAACATTGCTAATGGTATCTGGCAGTTGGGAAAGAAAGACGCTGCTTGTAGCTTTCTGAACAGTCCTGTGTTCTTAAAGATATGAGCGTCATGCACCTTCCTTGAACAGCCAACACTGATGTCAATGAAGTGTCCCTGGTGATCCACCAGTGCTGGCATAACCATAGAAAAATAGCCGTTTCTGTTGATGTACGCTGTGGCAAGGTATTCTGGTGCCAAAATAGGGATTTGTGTGCCATCTATCACTCCACCACACTTAGGGAGCCCAACTTCTGCAAATCCATCCTCTGTGTCCTGCACATTGCCAAGAGTCACAGTCCTTCATGGCCAGGCACTATTAATGGCTCTGCACACTTGCATGACAATGGCCTCTGCAGTGGATTTTCCAATTCCAAAATTATTTTTCCACTGATCGGTAGCAATCTGGTGTTGTATTGTGGAGACATGCAGTAATGTCTCACTTCTCCATTGTTAGTACAGCCCTCATTCTGGTGTGCCTGTGCTGGAGAGCAGGGGAGAGCTTGACACACAGATCCAGGAACGTGACCTTGCAAATCCGAAAGTTCTGCAGCCATGGCTCGTCATCCCAAGTCTGCATTATGCTGTGATCCCACCAGTTGGTGCATGTTCCTTGGGCCCAGAAGCAGTGCTCCAGCATCTGCAGCTGCTCTGTGAATGCCAGCAACTACCCTGAATTGGTTCTGTGTTTGACAGCAATCTGTCCTCCAGGAAATTATCATGTTCCCTGCTGATTTAGTCCTCCTTGCAGCTCTGCAAATACCAGAGAATGATGCCTCCAATGCTTGCAACGCTCATGACAATAATGCAGAGCTGTGCAGGCTTCTTGCTTCTGTCAGAGATGGTGGACAGCAAGGGTGGTGCAGGTTCATGGGATTTTTTTTTAAAAGGTGCAAAAATTATGGGATATAGATGACATTATGGGATGAAGAAAGTTGAATGCTGGGACGTTGACCCCTCCTGGCTCCCAGTCACCCCTGCATCACTAGTTTTTGCCCCACCTCGCATTGTCAAAACTTCCCAAAAGACAGTGTGCTAGATGATGGTGAGTTGCACACTGGGATACCTACCCCGGTGCACTGCACTGTGTATCGACACAAGGACTCCTGGTGAGTACACACAGTGCCAATGCAAGAAGCCAAGCATGCATGTGCCCAAGCGATATACTAACTCTGGTGGCTTTAGGCTGATGTAACTTGGTAGCAAAAAATTGTAGTGTAGACATGGCCAGAGTGTCACATCTAAATACAGGGTGGAAAAGATTAAAGCATGAGGTGGTAACATATTGCAAGAGACCACTCAAGGTCAAATGGCTGTTAAGACCTCTGCAGTCATGGGAGAAAGGAGGATTAGTGGGTTACAGATTGTTATAACGAGCCATAAATCCAGTGTTTTTGAGTCCATGGCTTATAGCATTTAGCAAAGTTATGAGTTTAAGCCCCCAGGCTCATCTTTTGAAGGCACTGTGAACCTTTGAGGTTTCCTTTGAGGACAAGGTCTGAGAGATCAGATATGGAGTGATCATTTTATGAAAAGCACTTGCCTATGGGTGGTAGGGTGGTTTTTTTTATTTTTCTGTGAGAGTTCATTCAGGAGCATAACAATTGTTTTGTTTCACCCACATAGTTGTTACTGGGGCATTTTTGATGCACTGGATGAGGTACACCACATGATGTGATAGGTATGTGTAGGACCCATGGATCTTGAAAGTGTTTTTTGGGGGGATATTGATCATTCTATCAGTGGAGCTATGTCTACCGGTTTTGAATCTGTTATGGCAGGGTCTGGTGCCGCTTTGAGTTGGTGTGTGCTGGTCTATGGAGCTTGCTTCTGCTGTTGAGTTTCGCAAGGTTGGGAGGTTGTTTAAAAGCCAGAAGATGGTGTTTAGGAAAGATTTATTTCAGGATGTGGTTCCCATCAAGTATGGGTTGTAATTGTTTGGTAGGCTGTATGGGTTCCAGTGTGGGGTGGTAGGTGACAACTAAAGGTGTGCAGGTGGGAGGGGAGGTTCTGCATTGAAGTAGCTTCTCTCAGGTGGTTTGTGTGCCCCATTCCATGATACAATCTACTTCTCTGGGGGAGTATCCTTGTTTAATTAAGGCAGTTTTAATTGTGTTAAGGTGTGTATCCCAGACTTTCTCTTCTGAGCACATTCCGTGTTATCTCAGTGCCAGGCTGCAGATAAACAGATTTCTTGGTGTGTTTGAGGTGATTAGTGGATGTGTGAAGGTAAGAGTGGCGATCTGTGGGTTTTGTGTATAATTGTTTTTAGGATTCCCTTGTTGAAGCTGATTATGGTGTCCAGGATTGTTGATGCTGGTGTGGGAGTGTTCAAGAGATAGAATTATGGTGGTTGTTATTGAATTTGTGGTGGAAATCTACGGGGAGTTTAGGTCGTCTTTCCAGAGGATGAAAATATCATTGATGGCTCTTGGGTACATCAACAGTTTTGGGGTACAGTTTTCCAGAAATTATTCCTCAAGGTGGCCCATGAAGAGGTTGGCATAGTAGGGAGTCATCCTAGTACCCATGGCTGGTCCCATGGTTTGGACAAAGTGTTTGTTGTTGAATGTAAAATTATTATGGGCGAGAATGAAATGGGTGTTTAGCGATGTTTGAGGTGGTTATCTGGAGTGTTGTCCATTGTCTTGTAGATATTTGAAGCAGGAAGTGAGGCATATTGGTGTATAGGGAGGTGAAATGTCTGATGGCAAGGATGGTGTTCTGAGGGAGGTTGTTACTGTTGCAGAGTTACTGGAGGCAGTCAGTTGTGTCCTGGAGGAAATTGGCCCTTTGTGGGGGGTGTGGTTTGAGGATTGGTTCTGAGAGTTCCACTATTCCTTCTATAGTTCCACTATTCCAAGTAAGAGTGCCTTGACCAGATGTGATGGATCTACCAGGGTTCCCTTGTTTGTGTATCTTGTTTGAGTATCCTTTGACTGGCTAGTGTAACATAAAATGGGTGTTGGGAAGAAAGGGATGTCAATTAGTTCTTGTAACGTTGTTACGCTTTGTCTTATAGCCTGGGATACTGCCACTTGAAAATATTGAGATGAAGCATTGCTGTTTGATGCTCTCAGCATGCAAACTTAGCACTTTTTTTTCTTCAAACTTAGCATTCTCCAGGTGTGCAGCCAGCTGATCTTGAAGAAGTTGTCAAGAAGGGAGTTAAAACTTTAGTGATTGGTCGTGGCATGAACGAGGCCTTGCAGGTAGGTTTTTGGTCTGACAACCACACCTTGGAACTGCTGATTTTGTTTCCTCTTTAGACAGAGATCATTTTTAACCTTCACAGAGAACAGTCTAGTTCATTTTCAGCCCTGTAATCTGAACCTGTTTTTTTATAAAGCCCAGAAACACTTATGAAAAAAGTTGTAAAAATGGAGAATCAGCATTTTGGGGTTAGAGACATTTGCTGAAAGTAACCTCATTTGATGCCGATACATTGGCAGCCCAGTGTCAAACTGTAAGTGGGTTTACAACCTTCAGGAATAGCAGCAACAATGAAAATCTTTAAACAATGTGTTAATTTTTAAACCCTTAAAACTGTTTGTAAACCAGTTCCCCAGCCTGTTGTAATAATGTCTGTCATTGATTACCCTTGCTAGTAATGGTATAGCCAAGTGTCACTTCAGCAGATGATCTGTATCAGCAGAAAGCTCAAGAAATGTTGATCTTCAGGGAAGCTTCATTCACCATGAGAAGCAGTCCACTAGCTTTTTGAACTTGGTTGGCTGAGCGAAATGGGCAGAGACATCCTTGTAGCACTTTCCATACTTGGGAAGGTCTACATTCTGTTACATGTATTAATTCACAGTCACTTCCACCACTATCTCCTGAATTTTCTCCTAATAGTTCAGTTCAAAATTGTATTTAGGAACACGTTAGAGAAGAAGGAATACAAGATGGATATACTTTAGCTATTATTAGATAGTGAAATAAAATTCCCCTTCTCTCCACTATAACAAATTCAAAGTTTATTCCCAGCATATTACCAATTTGGTTGTTACCACAAGTTTATTTTACTGCCTTTGAAACTAGATTTAATTAAGCATTTTTATGAACAAGAGCAACCAGTACTTGTTTCTTATTAGGGGGTATTGTCTGCAAGGAAAAGAATCTAGCATTTGTTCTTACCTTTTCCTTTCCTCTTCCTCAGGTACCAGCATCTACAGTGGACTATCTCAAGAAAAATGGGATTGATGTGCTAGTCCTGCAAACAGAGAAGGCTGTGAAGGAGTACAATGCACTGGTTGCTCAAGGTGTCAAAGTGGGAGGTGTCTTTCATTCAACGTGCTAATGAATTAAACAATATGGCCCTCTTCCCCCTTAGCCAAAAAGTCTTGTGCCTTTTGACTGAAGAAATGATAGTAGTCAGTATTGTGGATTTATATATAGAATTTAAATGAATCTGATTACTCACAAATGTTCTTCTATGGTGCTGGATATGGTAGACTATTTAATCATGATTCCCTACGCTTGTGATTTTGACCTAATCCTCTAGGTCTGAAGGCGTAATTCATCCTCTGACCATTAATGTTTGGCCCAGCTGCTGAAGTAAAATATTCACTTTAAAAACCTGTTAGGAAATGATCTGAGACTTCACTTCTTTTCCGATTTGCAATAGCTATTGGATGATCACATTTGGTCAGTACCAACATGTGCCAGTTTTGAAAGCTCCCAGCACATTTTTAAGAGCTGTATAAAAACAGTGAAAAGCTCTGCCTTCCATTGCCAATCCCTTGAGCTGTCCAAACTCTTAGCTGTGCATGCAGAGTGAAATGATGGTGGATTTGCTTCTTTGGGATGAATATTCTTTTAATAACTTATGATTTGTAAATTTTACATTACATGAAATCAAGTCACTGGGAGCTAAAGAAAAGATAGCCTTAATAGTGAGAAAGTGAGCCCTATATTGCGATATGTAGTAGTACACCTCAATAAGGAAAAAAACTAACATATGGTATGAGCAGTGGGATTACTTCAAACCCTGGCTTTATAGTTAATGAAAAATAAAGCTAGTGTGCAGCATACTAGACGAGCTGATCATTGCTAACTAGCTGGGGAATGGCGGGTGGAATATTTAGATCCGGTGCAGACTATCAGTTGAACATTAAACACATGCATAGATTTTTAATAAAAGCTGCAGATTTTAATCCTAATGGTGCCTGTCTTTTTCACTTTTATCTTGTGCTGGATTTACTGTAGCATATGCCCAATTATAAATTATCTGTAAGTGTCATAAATATAAAGGGAAGGATAAACACCTTTAAATCCCTCCTGGCCAGAGGAAAAACCCTTTCACCTGAAAAGGGTTAAGAAGCAAAGATAACCTCGCTGGCACCTGACCAAAATGACCAATGAGGAGATAAGATACTTTCAAAGCTGGAGGGGGGGGAACAAAGGGTTCTCTCTGTCTGTGTGTTGCTTTTGCTGGGACCAGAGCAGGAGTGCAGGTTAGAACTCCTGTAAAGGGTTAATAAGCAATCTAGTTAGATATGCGTTATATTCAGTTTTGTTTAAATGGCTGATAAAATAAGTTGTGCTGAATGGAATGTATATTCTGGTTTTTGTGTCTTTTTGTAATTTACGGTTTTGCCTAGAGGTATTCGTATGTTCTGAATCAGATTACCCTGTAAGGTATTTACCATCCTGATTTTACAGAGGTGATTCTTTTACTTTTTCTTCAATTAAAATTCTTCTTTTAAGAACCTGATTGCTTTTTCATTGTTCTTAAGATCCAAGGATTTGGGTCTGTGTTCACCTATGCAAATTGGTGAGGATTTTTATCAAGCCTTCCCCAGGAAAGGGGGTGGAGGGTTTGGGAGGATTTGGGGGGGAAAGATGTTTCCAAGCGGGCTCTTTTCCCTGTTATATATTTGTTAGACGCTTGGTGGTGGCAGCAATAAAGTCCAGGGGCAAAAGGTAAAATAGTTTGTACCTTGGGGAAGTTTTAACCTAAGCTGGTAAAAATAAACTTAGGGGGTTTTTCATGCAGGTCCCCACATCTGTACCATAGAGTTCAGAGTGGGGAAGGAACCTTGACATGGTGGCAGAGCGGTAGGATTAACTTGAAATCATTTCAAGATTTTTTTGAACCAGCAGCACAGATTTTTTTAAAAGGAAATATTATTTTTCCTTTGGGCTGCTGGAAAGCAGGTTTTAAGCTGAAAGCAGTTAGGGTTTTTTTTGTCTCTGCTTGGGGGCCAGAGCAGAGACAAAAGGGAATTGTCTTTTGTGAGCTGGAGTTTTCTCTACCTAAAGGCAGGGTAGTTAACCGCCTGCAGAGAAATTCACAAGTCTTCACAGACCTGAAGTTGTTTTTACCTAAGAGCAACTAGAGAAGTTTTCTGTCTGTTTGCCTGGAGACAAAAGTGTTAGGTTTTTTTTTTTTTAAAGGATTTTTCTGTAGGCGGACAATCACTATCAGAGAACATCGGTATCCGGTTACAGCACAACCTATTTTTGTTTTGACAAGCCACGTTTTTTTTGTTTGTTTGTTTGTTTGTTTTAGTTCTAACTCTCGGGTGTAAAGTTAGTTAAAAACAGAGAGGCAAACATGACAGAAACCAAGGAAACAGCCAAAGAGGCTGTCCACAGGAGAGCTATGGAGGCAAAGGAAAAAGAAATGGAGGAAAAGGAAAAAGCCCAAGAGGCTGCCCACAGGAGAGCTATGGAGACAAAGGGAAAAGAATGGAAGCATGTTGCGGAGGAAAGGGAGGCTGCCCACAGGAGAGCTATGGAGGCAAGGGAAAAAGAAATGGAGGAAAAGGAAAAAGAGAGGAAACATGCACTGGAGATGGAGAGGGCAAAGGCTGAGCGGAATCTACTGGATAACCCTAACAATCTTTCCCCAACAATCCACAAATGGGAGCGACTATGTCCACAGTATGATGAATCCAGTGATATTGCTGAATATTTTCTCACCTTTGAGAGACTGTGCACTCTCCATAAAATTCCTGAAGCTCACAAGATGACCACATTGGTCGCAAAATTAACTGGAAGAGCTCTGGACATATTCAATAAGATGCCTATTGATGAGGCTTCTGACTATAATAAGTTCAAGGACTTGGTTTTAAAGCAATTTAAAATTACATCTGAAACATACAGAGTAAAATTTTGAACCCTTAAGAGAGGGCCTGGACTAAGTAATGTAGATTATCTAAACCAGATGAAGGATCTGTTAGATAAATGGGTCCAAGGAAGGGGTGTCACTAGCTTTGACGGAATGTGTGATTTGATAGCTCAGGAGCAATTCCTGAATATGTCCAAGGAGGAAATAAAACAGTGTTTATGGGATAAGGAAGTGGACTCGGCAGAAAGTCTTGCTTCTTAAGCTGATCAATACGAGCAGTCCCAGACCGCCAGAGAGGCGGGGCAACCCGGAACAAAATGGGTGGAGGGAGGAGAGAGGAACAACCCTGGTCACAGTTGGAGCAGATAGCAGACGGGACACCCTCAGACCACACCCTACTACCGGGGGCAGCCCAAGGCCCCAGCTACACACCAAGGAATACTCCAGACACCTTATCGTCCTGCCACACCATTCTCCAGCAACCCACCTCGCCCCAGTGACCTGTCAGCTGGACGATGTTTTAAATGTAATGAGCCGGGGCATGTGAAGGCCAACTGCCCCAAGAACCCCAACAGACTACAGTTCATTGCACCGGAATCACACCAGAGGTCCTCAGGCCCAGATACCTCCCAGATACCCTCAGAGTGGAGGGAAACTGTGAGTGTGGGCGGGAAGAAGGTCACCGCGTGGAGGGACACCGGAGCACAAGTGTCAGCTATCCATGCTTCCTTAGAGGACCCCAATTTAATCGACCCAGAGATCCAAGTGACAATTCAACCCTTCAAGTCCAACTCTTTCAATTTGCCTGTTTGTTAGACGCTTGGTGGTGGCAGCAATAAAGTCCAGGGGCAAAAGGTAAAATAGTTTGTACCTTGGGGAAGTTTTAACCTAAGCTGGTAAAAATAAGCTTAGGGGGTTTTTCATGCAGGTCCCCACATCTGTACCCTAGAATTCAGACAGTAAGTAATATAGGCTTCATTCCACAGGGACTGCTAGCTGTTACTTAAATCTGTATCTTATATGTATTACAATAGGGCACAGAGGACATCAGAAGGGTCCTACTGTTCTAAGTGCTATACAGTCATGTTGAAACAACTCTTCCTGATTCCTATTTTTTGGAAAGAATTCCTCTTCCTTTACCCTGTTGGCTTTTCTCCATTTTGTATTACAATTAAATGTAAATGACTTCATAGAGCAAATAAGAGGAAGAACTAGTGTTTGTAAAACACAAACTTCATTTTCATCTCTTTAATTACAATAATATCCTTCAACACTAGGGCTATGTTGAAGGATATTATTGTATTTATATTGATATTGTACTATAATTTAATTGATATTATTAACGTAGCCCTAGTTTTGAAGCCTTCAACACTAGGGCTATGTTGAGGCAGTAGCTCACTAAAATAGCAGGAGCTTCTTTCTGGGTTTATTTGGATTCATTGATGTGGCAGCCAGTATAATGAGTAGGTGATTATTCTCAGTATAAATGCTATAATATAATTCTGAATAGTTGGTGTGGTAAGCAATAAAAGAAAGCATTGACCCAGAGGCTTTAGCTCTCTGACAGAAGTCAATGGAACAAACTCTTCTCTCCAAAGACTCTACAAATTATGAAAAACTGTTAATGCAAGGCTGTACTTTAGTGCTTGGACCAGGATATGGCTCCTGCCCAAATCCAGCCATCATGATATGCAATCTCCTGAGCTGCCAAAGCTTCAGAAAGCCTCAAGTAGTAGTTACTTGGCAGAAGCCCCACCACCAAACAATCTGAGCTCCATCTGGTGATGCCCATAATGTGCAGAGAAGTGATGCAAATGAGCAACTCAATTCCTAGACTCCTTTTCTTTCAATCTTCCCATTCACATAGCACATGATATTTAATCCAGTTTCAGACAGGAGCCAGATTTGTAGAAGTGAGGCTGGATGAGAGCCAGCCCTGTTTATTTAAGGGGGTGGCACATTACCGGTTCCTCAAACTGCTGCAGTGTGCTCCATTCCCATCATGGTATTTGAGGCAGTTAGCTCCTTTTACTTTTGCCTGATTGACTTCCATCAGATGCCTTCGCTGTACTGTACCTTTATGCTGCAGCCATCTTAAGTTTCTTCTCTGAGTAACTTCCATCCCTTTGAATCTGGTGATGAGGAAAGGGAGGTAGATTTCCTATACAGTTAGACTGCATCCCCTGCCATTGTGACCATGTCCCTGCATTAGCATAAGTCATGCATAAGTCATCCAGTCTAGTAGAGCTTTTCCAGCCCTAGCTTCTAGGATTCCAGTTGTGATGTGAGTCAGCGTGGGTGGCTGTTACCTTCAACCCCACAAAAAGTAATTCTGTGGAATGCTACAGTCACTCATGAGGCCAGACTTCTGCCTCAGTAGCTTCCGTAGCCTCAGAGGTAAGGTTAAGATTTTGCCACAGTTATTTTTAGGAAATGTCACGGACAGGTGGTGGGCAATAAACAAAAATTCACAGGAGCTCTGACCTGCCAGTGACTTTTACTAAAAATAACGGGGAAGAGGAGGCGGGAGGGGGTAAATGACACCTGGATCCCCATTGGAGGGACTGACAGCCACAGCCCTGGCTCCAGGCCCTGCCGAAGCCCCGGGTACACAGCCCTGGCTGAAGCCACTGGGGCAAGGGGACACACAGCCCAGCTCCGGCCCCGGCTGAAGCCACAGGGAGCAGAGGGGCACACGGTTCCAGCCAAAGCCACGGGTGAGGGGGACACAGCCCCGGCTCCGGCCAAAGTCGCTAACAGCTGAAGTCAAAGTCACAGGTCTCATAAAGCCACAGAATCTGTAACTTCCCTGCTCTCCCGTACACATAGGCCAGCCAACACCTGGCTGAATTGTCATTGGATCAGGCCCCACTGGGTACGTCTATGCTGCAGCTGGGAGTGAGCCTCCCAGCCCCAGCAAACAGATTGGCACTAGCTCTGCTTGAGCTAACATGCTAACAGTAGCAGTGTGGATGCTGAGGTGTAGGCTCTGAAACCCATCCCATCCCCTGGCTCTCTGGCCTGAGCTGCCACCCAAGCCACGTCTACAGTACTATTTTCAGCACATTAGTGTGAGGGCAGCTAACACAAGTCTCTCTTCCCAGCCCAGGAGGGTTACTTGCAGCTGCAGTGAGGACATGTCCATTGTGTCAACTAACCAGCACACTACAAATGTAAGACCTGCCACGCTGGGTCAGGCCAATGGTTCAGCAGGCCCCCCCCCCGATCCTGTCTCAGACAGCGGCCAATACCAAAGCTTCAGGGGGAGCGTAGAGAACAGGGCGCTTTTGGAGCTTTTGTTGAAGCATTAATTAGGCCACACGTCCTTAAACATCCCACGTGGGCAGCTTTGTTAAATCGTGATGTCTGTCCAAAAGACAGGCTCTATTTCAGAAGCCAAACAGCTCCAATACCACATTACAGGTAGGAAGGCTCAGGGCAGGGCTCTCAACCACAAACGGCTTCTCCGCTCCCTCCCACCTCCCCTCTCCACCACAGCTAGCAAGAGAGTCTGCCTCCCAGCAGGCTGTGAACACCCACCCCAGAAAATTCTTCAGCACAGAGCTGCTTCTGGGCTCAGGGCCAGCAAGACTCCATCCCAGTTCCTACTGCCACGGAGCAGCTCAGCCCACACAT